AACTAGGAGTCAGTGAATGAGCAAAACAGTCCCTAGAGGCCAAAAACATACCTCATTCACTATTACACATGCCAGGATCGGAGATTCAGTCCCACATACTCATTACCATACCACTAAAGGAGTCCACCAACAACTGCAACCTTCTCTTCCCCTCTCACGCAATTAGCTTGCCTGCAAAACCTTTGCTGTTGCACAACTGGAAAGCAAGGAGCCCTGAAGCTATACAACATATATGTTGCTCTTCATAAACAAATTTCTAAGGCCACCCTTGAAATGCGACAAATCTTCTGCCTTCTGATATACCTGAAGCATTATTTTTATTCTTTGCCTGGTGGACAAATAAGCAACTTGATCAGAGTTTACATAAGCAAAGACAGGAAGAAGTTACCCAGTCCTTCTAAAAGAGATAAGGCTGATGGAAACACATGTTCAAACATATCATGAAAGACAGAGATGGTATCTTAGAGCTACTCTTAAGATGAGGGGCAAGTTTTCATGGCTTCTCCAAGCACAAAGCTGATTTACATCAAAGGACTGACTGAGTTCATGACCTCCAGATGAAAAGTATGTGCTTCTGCTCAGTGAGATGAAACATTTTCAGTGGTAAGAACCTGGACTATCTGTATCACCTTCTGGAAGCAAAATGCAGAATCTCACTTTGTAAAATCCTCCTTGTAATGCCAGTAAGCAGGCAATTTGTTCCTGTTGCTAAAATGAAGAGTGACCAACCTGATTGTCCCTGGAACGACGAGACACACAGCAGTTGCTACTTTTCTCTGCATATAAGCATAAAGAATCAAAAGTTTGAATAACAGGAGACAAGATTCATGATCTTCTCTTATAAGTTACTTTTGGCTATGCTAATTGCCTACTTCAAGCACTTAAGTTCAGAGTCTCACCTAAAGCAGGAAGCAGTAACTATTAAAAAGGATCTGAATTTTCATGTCTGAGACATATTGTGTCCCTGCTGCAGGGGGAACAGTCTGTGGCCTTGACACCACAGGACCAAGGAGTTCACAACCTTTTCACACCACGTTCAAGCCCAACATCAGCCTGACACGTCTGGCATTTACAAGTGACAACTTGCCCCAAAAGATGCATTTAAGCTATGACTGGTTTACAACGCTGTATTAGTGAAACAGTGCCTGTACATTTGATCCACCTTTTCATAATTTCACAAACATTTAATTTCTACTGACACAAATTCTAAAAATGACTTTATTCTGTAATCATACGAAATCAGCAGTCCAGTTGTTTCAAACAGTTCCCCTGTCTAATCAGGTATTACCTGTTTAAGACCAAAGTACCTATCACTAAAACAAAAAATTACAAATTATGCTCTTATGAGGTAAAGTTATCCTGCTTCTTCACCCCTCCCTTCCATAGATGCCATCCATGATGCTCAGATGTATAGTTTATTTTAGTCTTAAAAAATGACACAAAATTAATTTGTTTCAATAGCAACTAGTAAGACAGTAAGTTAACAGACATTCTTTTTCTCCCCTTCTCCACTCTTTTTTTGCAGGAACATCTACCTATGCTAGTATCCATTGAATAAGTTAGTGCAAGTATTCGTAACTAAATCCACAAGAAACACTTTGGAATTCATCTGAGAGAAGTAGCTTAAATTCATAGACATGAGCTTGTGCACAAAGAGCAGCTAAGGTTGTACACATCAGGGTTTTTTGCATTTACAAGTACATGCACACTAGGATTTGACCTCATTTTCCTTCAAAGGAAGTACTAAACAATGTATTTTAGCACAGAATTTAGTTCTGTACAAAGAATTTCTCCTATAAGACAGTTAGTAAAGAGCCAGCAGACAATGTCGAGCTGCCAATATTCTTAACATTTGTGTCAATATTCAGCTTACAAAGTAAAATTAAATACCTTTCACAAGATTTACTGTGTCAGTAGCCCAAGTGAGAAAAACAAAAATCAATGTACATATTTGTACTGAAGAACTAAGCTTGGAATTTTAGGTTGGCAAAACTGAGAGAAAATACCAACAAAGGAATACACAGGGGTTCCGTTAAGTTTCTTAAATAAAATTTATGAGGATTGAGGAATGAGGATGACATCCTTCACTATGGTTTCCTATGTCCAAGAGAGCAGTAAAGAATTCCTCTAAAGGCTCAGTAACATGGAAACTGCTTCTATAACAGCCATAGATTCAGTGTTCAACTTTGTAAAAATGAATTTAAGATAACTTCACTTTAAGGTGAATTCACTTTGAGCACCAAGTACTGTTTCTTTCCTTTTTCAAAGACATAGAGCTATTCAGTGAAATTACACCACGTGTTAATATGAGATTTAATATATCTTAAAAAAGGGTGTTACAAAGTATTAATGCATTCCAAGGACATATGCCAACAGGACGGTACTACGTCAGTATGAAAACAAAAATATTGCTAAGATAAATACTAGTTCTCATTGCAGCCTTCTGCTACAGCTATTAGAGGAGCAATGAAAAATTCCCTTTTTCTAACTGTTCAAACTCTGTTAGTTTTGTATCCCTGTAGATCTACCACCCTTCCTTTTAGAAACTATCAAAATTGTCTTTCAATGGAGAACATTCTTGAACTGGAAAGATTAGGATAAGCGAAGTGAGGGCTTGACTTTTTCACAGGTTTCCTGCATGACTCCATGTGAAGTCATGAACATACCTGTTCCACAGGAACCCCCTGTGTAAACAAAATAGCTGCACATTGCACACTGGGGTGGGGCAGGTCTATATTCATTTCTGCCAAGTACACGGAAACTTCTTGAAAGTCATTAGACAATCATGAAACATTGCTTTGCTACTGTGCTGGTTTTGGCTAGGGGTAGAGTTAATTTTCTTCATAGTAGCTAGTACGGGGCTATGTTTTGGATTTCTGCTGGAACACAGTCATCGACAGTGTTGATAATACAGGGATGTTTTAGTTACTGCTGAGCAGTGCTGACACAGGGTCAAGGCCTTTTCTGCTTCTCACCCCACCCCACCAGCGAGTAGGCTGGGGGTGCACAAGAAGTTGGGAGGGGACACGGCCAGGACAACTGACCCCAACTGACCAAAGGGATATTCCACACCATATGATGTCATGCTCAGCATATAAAGCTGGGGGAAGAAGGAAGAGGAGAACGTTTGGAGAGTTGGTGTTTGTCTTCCCAAGTAACCGTTACGTATGATGGAGCCCTGCTGTCCTGGAGACGGCTGAACACCTGCCTGCCGATGGGAAGTAGTGAATGAATTCCTTGTTTTGCTTTGCTTGGGTGTGCGGCTTTTGCTTTACCTATTAAACCGTCTTTATCTCAACCCACGAGTTTTCTCACTTTTACTCTTCCGATGCTCTCCCCCATCCCACCAGGGGGGAGTGAGCGAGCGGCTGTGTGGTGCTTAGTTGCTGGCTGGGGCTAAACCATGACAGCTACTTAAACATAAAACTTCCCAACATAATCAGCTAACTATTTTGTAACAGTATTTGATAAACTCTGCTATCTGCATAGGTAAAAGAATCCTATAGCAACTGCGCACCTCCCAGAGACAGCCCATTGTAGCAGTATGGCAGTACCTACTTCTACCAAGCAGAAGTATTTTCCACTCCTTGCTCTCCTCCTCTGACTCTTTTTCAGCTTCTAATTTGTAGAAGCTGAAAACACACATGGATGTTAATGTGCTTTATAGCAGCAAAGTCTAGCAAAGAGTCAACCCTTGTGCCTGCTACATAATTCAGTTTTCATGACCCATCTCCAGCTTTCCAGAGGAAAGTAAGTCCTACTAGGCAATATACAGCTAGCGATACCTTTTGCATACTCACAATAGAAACTGTAAGAAATTAAACCTAAAAGAATTCGCCAAGCTTAAAGCAGTGACTAAGCCTACACAAACACAGATGTAAGTACAATGGGAAATTAGTGCAGAACAGCAGTGCGATATTCTGCTTTACAGGTGAAAGATCCATGTAAGCCTGTTAACACTAATTTCAAAACATTAGTTTATATACAGATCGCAGGACTAAGAACTGCACAGTTCAGAACATCCAGCCTTCCACAACTGCAAGCAAATATGGAAGTTATATGCATGTAAGACCTACAACATCCTACCTGTCCTATGTGCCCTATAATACTAATTTAATACCTATAGGTTAAAAAGGCCAAGAATATATTTAAAAAAAAAAGCTAAAATGCAGCACAAGCAGCTAGCCAGGCAGCTCGAGTGCATTATCAACATCCCTACCCCAAACAAGAAATTAAGTATTCAGGATGCACTGTGAGTACATTTACATGCTATCAGAGAAGGTAAAACGCCACAAGTGCAACAAACACTGGCAGTATGACTTGGGACAGAACTTCCTCCTAATGATATATCTCACAATTAGTGAACACTCAGGCAAAAAACATACCCATTAGCAACATGAGAAGTTTTTCAATATCACCAGTAACATGATCTCAACCTTGCCAAAGTCCTATCTTTGGCTGCAGTCTATGGAGAGCATTTCAGAATGAGACAAACCACAAAGAGTTCAATGGCACAACGGGTGAAAGAGTCCCTTCCTGACGTGGTAGGTGACCAGTGGAAGCCCCAAAGCCTAAGATTAAAGGGAACCCAAACACAGTACAACCCAACAAATAGTATTTTTTCCAGTTCCCTCAAAAGTAACACAGCTTTGAGGTATTTTTGAACAATTACTCTCATCTCAGCAGAATATAAGGTTACATTAGCACAACTTCAAGTTTACCTATTCCATTTCCTTGCTACATCCTTCAGTTCTTCTTCTAGATGTACAATTAAACACAATGTATCATCCCCAAAGGGGATTCAAGTCCTGCCTCTATGCCAGCTATACTACAGTCCTCTCCCATCCTCCATTGATGGAGTGATTCTTCATAGCAAGAAGCTTCTTATGTAGCTTCTTTCATCATGCCCCCTCTAGGCTGAAACAAGCTCCACATCAATTTAACTTCTGCTTTCCTATAGGGAGGGCACCACATCCATGATATAAGGAAGACTGACTTACAGTAAGTGAGTAGTCTCTCAGTGCCAACTATCAAGAATCCAAATCTCCTCCTCTTTTACAGCAGTGAAAGTCTGAGCAATTCCATTAGGCAAGATTCACATGAGTCTGGTGGTGTACCTGAAAAACAAACAAAAAAATCAGATGAGAAATAAAACTTCCTGCTGCATTGTCCTTTCGTGCCCGGGAAGCACGAGGGAGGGGATTACAATATATGAGTATCTGGAAAATTTTCTACCTTGTTTTTTTTGTGGGTTCCCCCCAAAAAGTATTTCCCTATAATACAGCATCTACAGCTAGATCTTCCTCTCCTGAAAGATATGTATTAGAAGTTCAGGTTAGCAATGTTCTCCTGTATCACTAAGCAACTAAGTTTTAGTCTACTAACACACTGAGCAATGCATTTTGTAACAGAAATCTTTCTTGCCCCAAGGATCCAGAATTCTGCACAAGCGTGTAACTCTACTGAGGGTATAGGGAACCCACTGAAATCTTGTCAGCACAAAAAAAAAAAAAAAAAAAAAAAGAATCCTGCATAGAAAGAGGTGCTGGGGGTACTACTCTGACAAACTCATATCACTATTCAACTGTTGCTTTGAAGCAACCAACATGCAGTTTTGACATTTAGTCAAATACACTTTCTCTGAAGACAATCCAATTTTATAGTTTTAGCAGCCTGCAGGACTTCTCTGTACAGTATGAACACTACCAAACAGAAATGGCTTATGACAAAGTTTGATCCTTTTTAGCCCAAATTGAGCACATCAACAGTTTAGCCTCTATGTTCATAGACTGTATGGTGCTTCATTCCAATTATTAGATTTGAATTTCTGTTGCACTGAGTCAGTTCCTGTATCAGCTTGACAATAATCTTTCCTAAAGTCTGTAATCAACACCAGATGAACCAGTGTCTGGGTACCACATATCATTTATTTTTTATAAAAACTAGCACATCATTAAGCTTCCTCTGGTGCTCTGAGGCTTTCCTGATCTTTCTTCAGGATCAATATGAGAAACAGAATTCCTCAAATTATTTGTACCCGAGATTCAAAACTGTTATCCACTGTGTAGTTTGTGGGTTTTTCTTAAAATAATAGCTTTAGCAGTTATAATTTAACATTTCTCTTAGTTATTATTTCTATATGCTGTCAATAGACCACGCAGCTTCATTTCAGTAATGGAACTAAATTCTTCTGCATGTCTTGCATTATTGACATTACTGCCCTTATTTAGTATTTTTCTTAAAGTGTTTGCATATTTTCCAAGGAAAAAGGAAATCCTTTTCCCTGTTTTCAACTCACTGAGTTTTGAGCAATACTTTTGCCTTCTCTTATCAGTTGTCTACATTTAATAACTCCTAATTTCATGTTTACACTCAACTCCTTGCTTCTTCTATTTGTTACATTCCTGAAAATGCCACCAGCCCCAGCTGGTTTGAAGTCTAAACATCTGTGATCTAACTTTAGGATTAGATTTTTTTTAATGTATGAACTTGTGTATTTTTAATAATAATCCAAATATTAAGAGTGGAAGTTTTTAAAACTAGAGCAAGAAAGAACACTTGATGTGTTAACTTTGATATTTTATATTAATCTAAGGTTCTTTCATTTGTGCTGCCTTTTAAGATTAGAGACCTAAAATAGCTATTAATGTAAGAGTCTATTGACATTTTTAGCCTGTAGGAGCATGCAGTGGGCAGATGCAGCTGAAATAATAACATATTTGAATGATGAACCAGCTTTACAATTTTATTACTCAGACTTTCCCAAATCTATGGCTGGCGTTTTTTCTCAAGTAACTCAGAAATTAAGCTGTTCTACATTTAAAACTTCCAATTAATCATATACTGAAAAATTCTCATGGTTAAGGCAACAAAATCACCTTATGATGAGCCTTTGAAAAAAATAAATAAAAATGCCTAGCTCTGAAAAATAGTGCCTTTAATTCTTTGTGTTATTTACATGAACAATGTAAGAGAAATAGGAAAAAAGACATCTGATATAGGTTAGAGACAATTATGCTAGTTATCAGGAGTATATTACATATTACATTGAAATAGCAGGGACCCTAGAGGGACCCTAAAGGGAAGTGACACATACAAGGGAACACAACCTAAGCATTCTCCCTCACTAGGCACATTAGGCCATCAGCAGGTTGGTGCTAACTTCCAAAATGCATGATGGCTTAAAAAAAAAAAAAAAATCACTATCCCAAAATTAAGAAAAATAATTGAGCTTTTCAACACAGCCCACAAGGTAAGACCTTATGCAGCAACTCCACAGATTGAAGGACAGGAAAGGGGAGTTGCCATTTCCACCATTTCAATCTCAAAGCCTTATTTAGCTAAGAGTCACCCAAAACAATATCCAGAATTTTCCACTTTATTGTGCAGTCCCCTCTGTAAGAGTTTGGCCTTGTCTTCACAACTTCAGAATTCATGAACTCCATGCCACCTAGGACAAGACAAATGCAGGGGTCTTCACCTTGAATGATGTTTCTAAAGGTATCCAAGAAGTCAGTCAGGGAGCTGAGGCTTGTACCAACCACTTAGTCACCCCATAACGCCAACTGATGCTTTTGTTGTTCCACAATCTTTCCACAGTTTTACACACACAGCAAGTCTTCCTCCTCCCAAAATGAAGTTTTTGCCACAACTTGCTGGTCCAGAAAAGGTCCTATGTTCCCCATTGCTCCCCAAACCACTGTGCTGCAGTGATCTAGTCTGATCAGTGAGCATAGGGATGCACCCATATGATGTTTTGTTTCTGAATATTTTGCAATACAGGTGTACACTTCCTAAAGTCATCTGGGAAATCCAGACCAGCTTAACTGCACTGTTGATTGATTTATAACTTTTTGTGCTTGTGAAATAAAAAAAATAATCCACATTTATACAGACATACTCACAAACAGACATTAGAAAAATTCTAGAGTCTGAAACATTGGAATAGAAGGATAAATTGAGCAATAAACATATCTCACAGTGGGTGACTACAGCTCATGTGAGTATCATAGAGGGATGCTCATTTAATGCAGAATGGAGGAAATTAATTATTTGGTACCCAAGGAAAAAAAAAGAATGAACATGCAATAATTGACCTTGTAACAACTCTACAACAATTCATTAAGCTGTTTTGTACTGTATTAGTCCCAAAGAAGCTACATATTTCTAAGTATTTCTGGAAGAGCCTACCAGGAGTGCAGCAAAGACCTAATCTGGCAACAGAGTGTAATTTGATGTAAATCTGCAGCAGGCAGACCTAAACCCTTGGGGAGGAACCAGCCAATTCTCTCCCTTCTCAAAGTTAGCCATTTATTTCTGCTGCAATTCCTACTAAAACCAGTAGGAACACACCTACAGAGTGGAATGAGAGGGGGAAATGAATCCAGTTAATAATTAACCAGGAAAAAAGCCAGATTTTTAGCCACAATGTTTGCTGAACCAGTTCATTGCATGAACGTGCTGCCAGCATATAGGAGATGAAAAGAACAAATCAGGCAGCTGCAGACAGGAGGGAAGAGCAGAACTACCCCTTTTGGAAGCAGAGGATTATGCCGATTTACACTGAAAATGGAACTAGGAACAAAGTGACAGGGAACGGTAAGAAAGCAAGTGACTTGCCCAAAACAACCTGCAACAGACACCTTCTAAAATTCAGAGTTTGATGCATGTGAGCAAAAGCTGCCAGTAATACCAAGTCTTACTGAAACCAAACGTTAAAAATCTTACAGTTTGCACGATGGATAAGCTAGTTACAAGTGTCATTATATAGTGCTAGCTTTAATTGCTCTGAGCTAAATATAGCTTTCAGAATTTAATAGCTCCCCCTCAGCTTTTCTGTCTTTCAAGCAGAGAAAAATCTTCCCGTTAGAAAAAGCACACAGGCATACACAGTTGCATGTTACCACAGAGAAGCAGGAAGCAAACCATTAAGAGGATTAAGTTAGAGTCTCCAACACTCATTCAGAACTCCTGTTTTCAAGAGACCAATTGCTTTCCTGTTCCACCACTCTGGTTCCAGCTAAAGCAGGTGACGGAAGCATGCATACCCACTCCTTTTCAAACTAAGCCATTTCGTTGTTTAATTAGCAGACTGTACTGAATCTTGCTCACCCCGTGTTTCAAGTCAAGATGTTGCCTTTACCAGCAAGCTGTCCCGGTACCCACATGCTTCTTCCTGTGCCACCCAGCTAGGCACGGTAGGGGAGGAAGAGCGAGTCTCCTGCACACACATACAGCCTGACCCTTCCCTGCAGCCGTTGTACTGGCATCACATACATGAGGGGGTCCAAAATCTGCTATGGCAGCAGAGACTGGAGCACCCCAATAAAGGCATGAAACAAGTTCTCTCTTCTGCCTTCTTGTACCCAATAAGGACTTCCAAAAATTTAATGAAAAGTTTTATGTAGCAGGCTTTAGTTTCCCTCTGAGTTGATAATGGGTTTCACGCAGAAAATTTGGCTGACAGCTAGAAATGTGTTCTACAGATTCAGCATTTCTGTTCACCTTCATTTTAGAGGTCATTATGTAATTGAAGTGCCCGCACTTTTTCTACAATTCTGGGAGTTAAATTAAAAATAAATTTAAAAAAAGCCACTGCTGCAATGACAGTCTTTCCGCTTTCCCTCAGGCCATGCCTCCAAACCCCCTTTCCCCCACTCTTCCTCTCCTGGCTTGTGCCCTCTACCTATTTTCTCTGTGGTTTCATCCATCTTCTCTTTTCTTTACTGAGCTGAACTCTTAATTTTTATGAAGAGCCAGAAAGCTCCCTACTGTCAGTGCAGGTGTAGACAGACTTCACTTATCCATTTCTGATAAAGCACAGAATCATGACGCCCATTGTCATTAAGATTTTTTTTTCTTCTGAAGTAACAGACCAAAATGTGGATAAATAGCATCAAAAATAGGGATGAATACTGGAGGCACTAAGTATACTAGATCTGTCACACTTACAGAAGGCATTTTTACTTTAAAACTCTGCTAATCACAACAGCCTATTTAGTACAGATCAATGTTTTCAAAAAAACCCACACACAACATCATGCATCTACTATGGATAAATATACTCTTAATGCTACGTGTTAACTGTCATGAATCAGAGCTGAGTGACCTAGAACTC